TTGTTACGCACTCCCCCAACGTTTTTTTTCTGTTTAATATTTTTTCTGGTATCCCTGTATATTGTTCATTTCAGCACATGTATTGACTTTAGCTTTTTGCTTTTAACGTTTCTTACCTAATTCTTGTGTTCGGTTATGTTTCCTGATTTGAACTATGTTTTGTATAGCAACAGAATTTAACAATGTGGAAAAAACTATTGGAAGATACATTACTTCATAAAACTTTCCACAGACCCAGCAGAATAGAACCCAGGACTGGAGGTTCTTTAACTCTTACCTTAGGAGAAGGTATTCCTACTTGTCCTCTCTCCCTTGATCCATAACATTAGATTTCGATTATCTTAGTTAAGAGTGTTTGGTCCTTACTTTTTTGAGTGGGGCAAATGATAACACCTGCAATCTTTGTCATCTCTTCTATTTTATAACATTAAAAAAGGCTTTAGTGTAATTTCTAATCTTCTCTTTCTTAAAAATATAAATGTACAGGAAACAAAGGATAATTTGGGATTTGGGGATTATTTTGATTATATGAAATGGACTTCTTAATAAACAATATTTATTGTACTTCTCTCAATTCAAAAGGAATTTGCATTTGTTCCAGAAAATAAAATACTAAAAAGTAGAAGAAAAAAATTAAAATCATTTAATTTTTACACCCAGAAATGACTGTAGTTAAACTGTTGCTGTATTTCCCTCTAGTCTACATTCAACTTTCAGTTTTATGTAATTTTATAATGCATTTTTACAATTATATATTCATTAGCTCAAGTTTATATGTTCTTTAAAAATTTTTTTACTAACACTATAATATTCAGATGAATCAATGAAACAAAATAGGGAGCATAAACCCATGTCCTCTTGCATAGAAGAGTGGCAACACGCAGTGGAAGAAGAGGAAATAATATTTTAAAGACAGCACTAGGGCAGGTGGTTAATTACTTAGAAAATTAACATAACATCTTTTCCCTCTTTTCCATACACCAAAATATATCTATGAAACATTTGATATGGGAATGGGGAGCTACTTCTTGAAGAACAGAAAAGTAGTCAACTAATCACAAAAATAAAACAGAATAGATTTGATGACAAAAATAGAAAACTATTCCAAAAAGAGAGTTGGCAGGTCATGAAAAGTACTTGTATTAACAAAAATTTCCCTTAATACTCAAAGTGAGTAGCAGAACACCTCAATTTTTTAAATACGCAGAAGATACCAAAAATTCAAAAATACAAATAAACAATGTATGAAGTAATGTTTAAGCTCATCAAAAATACAACTAAAACAGTAAGATACTATTTTTTACCCACTAGAATTTTTTCTTTTCTTTTTTAAATTGAGGTATTATTGACCTGCAACACTATATTAGTTCTGGGTGCTCAACATAGAGATTTCATACTTCTATACATTACAAAACGAACACCATAACAAGTAGTTACCATCTATCACTATACAAAGGTGTTACAGTAATATTGACCATATTCCCCATGCTGTATATACATTTCATTCCTGTGGCTCATTTATTTTAGTAGCTGGAAGTTTGTACCTCTTCGTCTCCCTCACTTATTTTATTTATTCCCCTCCTTCCCCAACCCCTCTGGAAAGCACCTGTTTGTTCTCTGTATCTGTGAGTATTTTCTGTTTTGTTGTTGTTCAGTTGTTTTCTTTTTTAGTTTCCACATATAAGTGAAATCATATGGTATTTGTCTTTCTCTGTCTGACTTATTTCACTTAACATAATACCCTCTAGGTCCATCCATGTTGTTACAAATGGCAAGATTTTATTCTTTCTATGGCTGAGTAATATTCCATTGTGTGTGCATATATGTGTGTGTGTATGTGTACATGTACACACTATATCTTTTATTTATTCATTTAATGATGGGCACTTAAGTTGTGTCCATATCTTGGCTATTGTGAATAATGCTGTAATGAACATAGGGGTGCATATATCTTTTTGAATTAGTGTTTCTGTTTTGTTTCGGTTTTTTTTTGGAAAAATACCCATAAGTGGAATTGCTGGATCATATGGTAGTTCTTTTTTAAATTTTTTGAGGACCCTCTATACTATTTTCTAGTTTCAGACTGTTGTGGTCAGAAAACATGCTTGATATGATTTCAGTCTTACGTTTACTGAGATTTGTTTCATGGTCGAGCATGTGGTCTATCCTAGAGAATGTTCTATTGCACTTGAAAAGAATGTGTATTCTGCTGCTTTTAGGTAGAATGTTCTATGTATACCTACTAAGTCCATTTCATTTAATTTGTCTTTTAAAGCCAATGTTTCCTTACTGATTTTCTGTCTGGATGATCTGTCCATTTATATAAGTGGGTGTTAAAGTCCTCTACTGTTACTGTGTTACTGTCAATTTTCCCCTTTATATACTAATATTTGCTTACATATTTAAGTGCTCTTATGTTGGGTACATATATATTTACAGTAATATCTGCTTTTTGAATTGATCCTTTGATCGTTATGTAATATCTTTCTTTGTCTCTTGTTACAGTCTTTGTTTCTAAAGTTTGTTTTGTCTAATATAAGCATTACTGCCCCAGCCTTCTTTTTGTTTCCATTTACATGGACTACCTTTTTCTATTTCTTCACTTTCAGTCTGTGTGTGTCTTTAGTTCTGAAGTGTGTCTCTTGTAGACATCATATATATGGGATTTTTTTTTATTCATACAGCCACTCAATGTCTTATGATTAGAGAATTTAGTCCACTTATATTTAAATAATTATTGACAGGTGTATGCTTATTGCCATTTTGTTAACTGTTTTCTGGTTGTTTTTGTAGTTGTATTTTGTTGCTTCTTCCTTTGCCCTCTTCCCTTATGATTTGATGACTATTTTTATTTTATGTTTGGATTCCTTTCTCTTGTGTGTGTGTATCTATTATAGATTATTGATTTGTAGTTATGAGGTTTATATGTAACAACCTATATTTACACATGATTATTTTAAGTTGATGATCTCTTAGGTTCAAAGACATTCTAACTACCCATCTTAATCCCACACCCCCAGCAATGTTTAATGTTTTTGGTGGGTGAGCCTTGGTCCTGTCGCAGTGGCAGCAGGTCTCAGACAGTCCAGACAATCCAGGGTTTAATGCTGACCTGCTGTTGGGCAAGGCTGTGTCCTGGCATGGGTGGCTGCACAGTTTGGTCAGTCGTTGGGCTGGTGCCAGCCCACTGGTGGATGGTATTGGATCCTAGGGTGGCTCTCTGTGGTGCATGGAGCTGGTGTTGGTCCAATGCATGGTAGGGTTGAGTCCTCACTTGCTGAAGTGGGTCCCACTCAGGCTTACTTCAAATTACTGTCTCTGCACTGGGTTTGGGAGCACATGAGATTTTGTGTATGTTGTTTAAGAGTGGTGTCTGTTTCCTACAGCCCTCTGACTCTCCTTTCCTCTATACAAACCTTGGTGGCCTTCAAAGCCAGATGTTGTAGGGGCTTGTCTTCCAGGTACAGGGTCTCTGAGATAGGGGCCTAGTATGGGTCTCAAATCCTTCTCTCCTTAGGGAGAACCTCTGCAATTGTGATTTTCCTCCCATTTGTGGGTCACCTACCCAGGGGTATGGATCTTGCCTGTACCTGTACTTCGTCCATGCCCCCCTACTCATCTCACTGTGATTCCTTCTTTGTCTTTAGCTGTGGAAAATCTTTTCTGCTATTCTTCAGGTTATTCTCATCAATAGTTGCTCTGTAAATAGTTGTAATTTTAGTGTGTCCATGGGAGGAGGTAAGCTCAGGATCTTCCTTCTCTGCTGTCTTGGCCACACCTTGTGTGTGTGTGTGTGTGTGTGTGTGTATTCATTTTTATAATTATATACTTTATCTGCATCTATTGAGATGGTTGTGTGATTTTTGTACTCTCTTTTGTTGATGTGGTGTATCACATTGATTGATAGTGTATGAGCTATCCTTGTGTCCCTGGGATGAATCCAACTTGATCATAGTGTATGTTCTTTTATATGCATTGTGGGATTTGGTTTGCTAGTATTTTGTTGAGAATTTTTTCATCTATGTTCATCAAAGAAATTGGCTTGCAATTTTCTTTTTTGGTAGTGTCTTTGTCTGGTTTTGGTATCAGGGTGACGATGACTTCATAGAATGAGTTTGAGAGTGTTTCCGCCTCTTCAGTCTTTTGGAAGAGTTTGGAAAGGATTGGTATAAATTCTTTGTATGTTTGGTAGAATTCCCCAGTAAAGCCATCTGGTCCTAGACTTTTGTTTGCAGGAAATTTTTTTTTATTACTGATTCTGTTTTACTTCTAGTGATCAGTCTGTTCAAATTATCTATTTCTTCTTGATTCAGTTTTGGTGGTCTGTATGTTTCTTCTAGGTTGTCCAATTTGTTGCCATATAGTTGTTCATACTCTTTTTTTCCTTTTTCATATTTTCTTTAGTGTCGGTTATAATTTCTCCTCTTTAATTTCGTATTTTGTTTGTGTCCTCTCTCTTTGCTTCTTGGTGAACCTGGCCAGAAGTTTCTTGATTTTGTTTACTCTTTCAAAAAAACAAGCTCTTGGTTTGATTAATTTTTCTATAGTCTTTTTAGTCTCTATTTTGTTTATTTCCTCCCTGATCGTTATGTAATTATACACTTCATATATGATTATATAATCATTAACTAAAGTTTATGTATAAAATATAATTCATGTTATATAACAGCATTCCAGTAATTTTTTGGTACAACTTTGTCAAAACAATTTAAAAATTAATTATTAAAAAAACTAAAATACATAATTTCTGATTATAAAATACACATAGATCATGAATAATGTGAGTCCTATAATTCCTCAATTCCCACTGTTAATATATTTGTAAGCAATTTTTTTTAAAATTCATGTATGAGTAGATTGGTGAAATATTTGTTCATCTGTGATTAATTTGTGATGGAATACGGAATACGATGTTCTTTGCTCTTAGGCTTATTCAAATATGCAGTGAACCAGACTATGTTTTGTGAAATAATATTTCAATATTTTTCTTCATGCTTTAGGTATGTATTCTTTTTGGATCCATGCAATCTGGACTTGATAAACCGGAAAATTAAGTCTGTAGCACTGTGTGTCGCAGCATGTCCAAGACAAGAACTGAAAACCCTAAGTGATGTTCAGAAGTTTGCAGAGATAAATGGTGAGACATTAGGCCATCCGAGTACATACCCTAATCACTTACTTTCACTATTAAATAATATGTTTGCCTTTCAATATAAATTTGTCATAGTGTTAAATAAATAATCAAAGAATCTTAGAAGAAGAGAAGTGAAAGTACTTTTGAAGTTCTTGATACAGAATATTACAGTCACCTAGGGAGCTCGTTGAAACTCCAGATTCCTGGGCCACACCCAGGGAAATTCTAATTCAGTAAGGCTTTGGGCTCTGGAAATGTGTTTTTTGGTTTTTTTTTTGGTTTTTTTTTTAACGAATGTTTCAGGTGATTTTGATGTAGCCTGTTTGAGTATTTGGGAATTATTAGACTACTCTATGTGAAATGTTGGGTTTTTCTTCCTCTTTCTAAGTGTAAGTTAACAATATTTCAATTAGTCTATTTTATTTTTACCCTTGGATAACAGTATAATATGTATCTATTATTAGAAATTTGAAAAGTGAAGAAAAAATAATGAAGAGGTTAAAACCAAAATTCCACCATTTTTTAATGTGTTGGTGTATATATAATTTTGTGTCTTGCTTTTTTAATTAAATATTATGTCTTAACCATTTCTGTAAGAAATAATTTTTTAGACACTTTGAGGTTAAACATGTGGGAATTAGCTGAGAAAACAAGCACAGTCCATTTCCTGAGCTCTAGTACTTTCTCTTGGGTTGCTGATCTCCAGGTGCTTTCCTCAGCTCCAAATGACTCACATCAGTTCTCTTCAGAGAATTTTTTTTTTAAATCGCTCTTCGTAGAGGGCTGCATACTGATAGTCCTTCAAGCCTGTATTTTTCCATGAGGTTTTGTGTTTGTATTTTGTGTGTAAGAATCCTCGGAGCTGTCTCAGCCCTGCCCAAAGTCACAGGCTAGTTCTAGCCTTGGAATAAGGGCTGACTCGGGCCTCCACCTGGTGTAACTGCTGGCTGGGTGGAGAAACAGCCTGGGGCATAGCGATACACACACCTGCATGGCTCCAGAGGGTTTCAGATGTGGGTGCTAGCCTTCTGAGAGCAGAAGGACTGCAGCTTCCAGACTGGTAGTTTTCCTGTTCCATCGCTGTGTGCCCTCAGCATAAGATAGTGGGAAGAGCATGGGATTGATTCGGATCTGAATTCTGATTCTGCCTCTGTCATTGAGTGGCTCTGTAATGAGGGACAGAAAGTGTAGCTTCTCTGAGCCTAGATTTCCTCATTTGAAAAAAAATGTAGATTTAAAATAATGCCCCTCTCTTAGGTTGTTGTGAGGATTAAATGAAATGATGAATGAATACTGGGCACTTGGTGGGCACTGAATAAAGAGGTGCCAGCTACTCTTTGAGATCTCATTTTCTAGCCTCACAAGATGGTATCCTCACATGTGTTGATTTGCTGAGTCTGATACCAGAACTATCAGCTCTGTTGTTATTAAGTTTCTTAGGGAGGAGTGAGTTATTCCTTAAGGGTTTTCCTAAAATATTAGACAACGTGAGCATACACAGTGTACTTTGGGACGTGGTATCATTGAGTGGTTAAGATTATGGGCTCTGGAGACAGATTATCTGGGTTTAAGTGTTGGTCATACTGCTCAGCAGCCGTGAGACCCTGTGCAAGTTGTTTTATCTCTCCATACTTCAATTCCCCAGCTATGAAACAGGGATAATATTTGTACCTAAACTACCTCGAAGACTTGTTACGAGCAGTTAATGCATAAAAAATGATTAGAACAGTGTTTGACAAGTAAAAGTTGTTCCAAAAAAGAAGTGTTGACCGCTGCTGTTATGTTGTTGTTGTTGTTATTTTTTCTACCAATGAACTGTAATACCCTTTCCGCCTCCAGTCTCTTTCTAACTTCTAGCTCCCTTTCTAACTAATTAGCTCCCATATTAATATTCTTACAGCTTCAATCCTGTTAGTCTCTTCCTCAGAAATCAGTGGTAAAAAAAAAAATCTATATGTCTTACTCTGGCATTCAGAATTATTATCTAGTAAGGAGCTCCCTCCTAACATGTTCTCTTGGACCTACTGGATGTAAGTCTTGGTCCGTTGAACCTGACATGTCATCAGGAGGACCAGAAGAGAGCTAGTTCCTTGTCGGCTGCATTGCCTGCGGTGATGCTCCTTTGGGAAGAAATGCCCCTTGTTGTCCCGCTTTCATGCTTTGTTTCAAGGCCCCTGTCCTTGTAAGTGAGTGTGATACTGAGTATAGCCTATTAAGATCCTGTTAAGAAGACCCTTCTGATGAGTTTTGCAGCTTTGTTTTACCCATCATGTCTTGTACAAAGTAGGTATTCAAGAATATTAATGAATAAACATTAATTCAGAAAGGCAGAACTTTTGGATTTGTTCCTGGCTACAAAGGCACGCTTAGACTTTTGAGGCAGTTGTTTGCAAAATAAGTTAACGGATTAGGCATTTTAAAAAAATAATAATAACAGCATCAAGAAGCACAGCAAAGGGGGATGGAGAAGATAATAATTTTAAAAGGCAAGTAGAAAATTACAAAATTATGTTAGAGAGGGAGCCTTTGGTGCAGGGGCCTAAACACCTTAATTTTAACAGCAACCTGAAGTGGAAATTTCTGAGTTTCTCAAAAGAATCTATACTGTTCTTTAGATTGGTAACTTAAAACTGGTGGTACAAATTGATTTGGAAGCAGATGATTTTTATTTGTTATCTATGTCCATTTGTTGTTACAGCCATATTTCTGTTAGAAAATACACAGCTCTTTGACTTCAAATATATGGATCTCAATCATTAATTTCAAAGAGGAGTATCTTTAAGAGATAATTTAGGTTTAAGTGGGAAATTTCCAAATCTGTAAGAGAATTAAAAGTCCATGAAAGAGCCATCCTGCATGAGCAAACTGTAAAGCTCCCAGAAGAAAACATAAGGGAAAACTTCTTGACTTTGGATTTGGCACTAATTTGTTGAACATGAACCAAAAGAATAGGCAACAAAAGAAAAACTAGATAAATTGGACTCATCAAAATTTAAAACTTCTGTGCCTCAAAGGTACAATCAACAGAGTGAAAGGCAACCCATGGAATGGGAGAGAATATTTGCAGTCTTGTGTCTCTGATAAGGGGTTGATACCCAGAGTATATGAAGAACTCTTACAACTCAACAACAAGAAAAAAAACATACAGCCTGATTTAAAAATTAGGGAAAGGACTTGAGTAGACCTTTATCCAAAGATGTATGGATGGTCAGTAACAAGAATGTGAAAAGATGCTGAAAATCACTGATCAGAAGGGAACTGCAAATTAAAACCACAGTGAGGTACCACCTCACACTCATTGGGATGGCTACTGTAAAAACAGCAACAACAAAACCCAGAAAATAACAAATGTTGGTGAGGATATGGAGAAATTGGAATCCTTGTGCACTGTTGGTACGAGTGTAAAATGGTGTATCTGCTATGGAAAACAGTATGAGTTTTCTCAAAAAATTTTAAATGGAATTACCACAGAGGATTTTTGGGGCAGTGAAAGTACTTTGTATGATACTATAATAATGGACATGTTATTTTGTATTTGTCCATGCCCATAGAATGTACAGCACCAAGAGTGAACCCTGATGTAAACTGTGGACTTTGGGTGATTATGATGTGTCAGTGTAGGTTTATCAGTTGTATCAAACCTACCACTCTGGTGGGAGAATGTTGACAATGGGGGAGGCTATGCATATTTGGTGAGTATGAGGTATGTGGGGGGATCTCTGTACCTTCCTCTCAGTTTTTCTGTGAACCTAAAAGTGCTCTAAAAAAATTAAATCTTTGAAGAAAATTTGATTGCTATTTGAACCATAAATCCCACTTTTAAGCATATACCCAAAAGAAAAAGGATTTCAAAGAGATATTTGCACACTCACGCTCACTGCAGCAATATTTTGCCAACAGATGGACGAAACCTAAATGTCCATTGACAGATGAATGGATAAAGAAAATGTGGTAGATACATACAATGGAATATTAGTCAGTCTTAAAAAATAAGGAAATCCTCTCATATGCTATAAAATGGATGAACCTTGAGGACATTATGCGAGGTGAAGTAAGCCAGTAACAAAAAGACAAATGCTGCATGATTATACTTACATGAGGTATCTAAAGTGGTCAGACTCCGTAAATGTAGAATGGTGGTTGCTAGAGGTTGAGGGGAGGGGGAAATGGGAAAATGGTGTTTAGTGGATATAGAGTTTCAGTTTTGGAAGATGAAAAATTTCTAGAGATCTGTTGCACAATAATGTGTATATAGTTAACACTACTGAACACTTAAAAATGGTTAAGATGGTATATTTTACGTTACGTGTTTTTATCACTTTTTTTAAAATAAGGAAATTCTGACAAATGCCACAATATGGATAGACATTGAAGACATTATGCTAAATGAAACAAGCCAGTCACAAAAGGACAAATACTTTATGATTCCCTTATATGAGATACTTAGAGTAATCCAGTTCACAGAGACAGAAAGCAGAATGGTGGTTGCCAGGGGCTGTGGAGTGAGAGAAATGGGAAATTACTGTTTTATATGTAAAGAGTTTCAGTTTTGCAAGATGAAGAGATCTGGATATGGATGATGGTGATGGTCGCACAACATTGTTAACGTGCTTAATGCTTAACAAAATTTTTATTTTGTGTATTTTACCACAATTTACAAGTTCCTGAAAGAGAAGAAATAGAAAACAAACTTATGGTTATCAAGGGGGGAAGAGGGTTGGCAGGGATAAATTGAGAGTTCAAGATTTGCAGATACAAACTACTATATATAAAGTAGATAAACAAGTTTATACTGTATAGTGCAGGAAACTATATTCAATATCTTGTAGTCACCTATAATGAAAAGGAATATATGTATGTACATGTATGACTGAAGCATTATGCTGTACACCAGAAATTGACACAACATTGTAACTGACTTTACTTCAATTAAAAAAAAATTTCCTGAAAGAGAAAGATCCTGTTTTGGGTAGTCACGTTTTAAATGATCATTTAAACCTTAC